CAAGGACTATAAGGCGGGCCCCTGGATGCTCATCTGACCGTAGTTTAATGCCTAAAACCCCGAGCTTCCTGGGGCTCCGCATCCTGGACCCCACTCCAATTATTGACCTGCCAGTACGTGTTAAAAATAAGGTATACAAATTTGCTCATCTGCCTAACACCCCTGAAATTCTGGGTGCTCCGCCCCAAGGACTCAACAAAGGGCCCTAAGGCGGGGCTCTAGATTCTCAGCTGACCGTTATTAAATGCCTTAATCCCATAGCTTCCGGGGGCTCTGCCTGATCGTAAATACTTTTGCCCCTCCCCCCCCCCCCACTTTTAACATATAAGAGTCGTGTGGTGATGCGCATTTTGTTTCTTTCCCCAAACGTGTTTGCTCATTAAGCCACTGTATAACAATGGATCTAATATTAGCCTACTTTTAAAAATTCAGACAAGGATTTAAGTCCAAGTCCATTTTTAAAAAAATGCAGAAAACAAGAGAAACAGAGCAAACAAGATTTTAGTAAAATCTATTATATACCTCACTTAAGAAATCCAGCCATCGGCACGCCTCGGGCAATAGCACAATTCTAACCTTCCCTTGAGCGTATAAAAACAACTATTTCTCTCAAAGCAGTCATTAATACTGTGACGGTTGCGTGAAATCAGATAGGGGGGGGGGGGGGTGGTTTGATAGAAATCCCACCGCTGCCACCATTGTGACGGTTGCAATTGCTTCCTTTTGGGACGCACTGTCTCGTCCTTTTCCAATCTGTCCCTCGTCACGTGCAAGACACGTTGTCTCACTCTCTGGGAAAACGCTGTATTGATTTGGCTATTTCCCCTCAAAGTTAGCTTCGAGGGTCTCGAACCACTTCACAATATTTTCCATCCTTTTATAGGTGAGTGTTATTCTCACCCCTGATACCGTAATTAAGTATCATTAAGTAGGAACTAATCATGTTTCTGTCTCTCTAACAAGCCTCACAACACCATTTAGACCATAATCATGTCCCATTCATTCGTTTCTGTGTATCAAGTCTTTCACTCAGTCAATAACAAAATAGTATCTTATTCCCTTTCACACTTCCGAGCGATATAATTATAAGGCACGATGACCTGAGTCCGTTTGTCTGAAATATACAGACGAAGTCTTTGTGTTCCTGTTTAGTAATAAATCCTACAGTAGTTCAAAATCTACTATAGATTTCGTACACTATCATCAACAATGCATACTTAACTTACTAGGCAAACCAGACTAACAAGATTTATAACTTGATTCAATCTAAAGTCGAATAAAGAATTTATTATTCAATAAACCATTTCTAGGCAACTGTTCAACAATGTAAGAACCGTAAAACTCTCAACAAGAAAAAAATACTTTCATGAACTTTACTTATGATTGCTACTAGATATGTACATTAATTAATCATTGTAATAAATGTTTACTGCTTGTATAATTTATACAGTATTTCCTAGCTTTATATTTACAAGATGTCAACACTTAATTTACTATTGTAGACTGCATACTATTTAAATAATGTACATGTAGGCTATAGACTTACTGAACTTAGAGGCTTTACTAACGAACTTTACTATAAACCACAATGGCAGTTGGACCAATGTTAACTATTCCCAACTCTTATTCCAAGTAATCCTATTCTGACTGACTACTAGTATCCTCAGACCTCAGTAGGCTACTCCTACCCCTTGACACACAACTATCTACCTGCGCCTGACACCATCTCCGCACGGCGGCCGCCAGCTGGAAACTTTAAAGTCGCAACTTTAACAACCTATTTTTGGCGGCATGCAGCCGGCTTAGCCAATTATAGACGTGCCGCCAGGGGGGGGGGGGGGGGGGGGGGGGTGGATGGGCCGATTAAAGATTCCGGGGTAAAACTCGGATCCCAGCCTGGCACAAGCCGGCTGGGCTACCCAGGACCAAAATCCAGTTGAAACCAATTGGAGCAAATCCAATTGAAACCAGTTGCCAACTGGTTTCAATAGGGTAATTGGAACAACTGGTTCCCATTGAAACCAGTTGAAACCAATTGCCAACTGGTTCCAATTGAAACCAGTTGAAACCAATTGCCAACTGGTTCCAGTTGCCTAATTGGTTTCAACTGGAACCAGTTGTTCCAATTTCCCTATTGAAACCAATTGGCTTCAATTGGTTTCAACTGGTTTCAATTGGTTTCAATAGGTTTCAATTGGATCCAATTGAAACTTTCAGTTGGCATAAATTTAATTAGTTATAAGTTAATTAGCTCTTGCACTAATTATCGCTCATGTCAACACAGAAGTATTGTTATATGTGTCTACATTAAGTACAATGTAAAGGGCATTATAATATGCAGATCATAACAAGGAAGGCATTGGTTATATATGTTTGTATTTGATGTATTTTGTACATGGTTAGTGTTTTACTAATCAACTTTTAATCTGTGTAATTAAACAAATATGTTACTAATGAACATGCTCATCATTGCTAATTATTCTTTATATTTATCTAAAACAAATGCATTACTTGCAAATGAAAATTAATTAATAAATACATTGTAAATCAACATAAATTACATAAAACATTGATCTGCACACAAGCAGATAATATGCAAATTAACTGGTTTCAATTGGATCCAGTTGGGTAACTGGAAATATTTTCCAATTGGAACCAGTTGGGTAACTGGAAATGACTTCTAACTGGAACCAATTGGGTAGGCCTGGAAATGAATTCTAACTGGAACCAGTTGGGTAACTGGAAATGAGTTCTAACTGGAAATGAATTCTAACTGGAACCAGTTGGGTAACTGGAAATGAATGCTAACTGGAACCAGTTGGGTAACTGGAAATGAATTCTAACTGGAAACAATTGGGTAACTGGAAATTAATTCTAACTGGAACCAGTTGGGTAACTGGAAATGAGTTCTAACTGGAACCAGTTGGGTAACTGGAAATGAGTTCTAACTGGAAATGAATTCTAACTGGAACCAGTTGGGTAACTGGAAATGAATGCTAACTGGAACCAGTTGGGTAACTGGAAATGAATTCTAACTGGAAACAATTGGGTAACTGGAAATTAATTCTAACTGGAACCAGTTGGGTAACTGGAAATGAGTTCTAACTGGAACCAGTTGGGTAACTGGAAATGAGTTCGAACTGGAAATGAATTCTAACTGGAACCAGTTGGGTAACTGAAAATGAATTCTAACTGGAAACAATTGGGTAACTGGAAATTAATTCTAACTGGAACCAGTTGGGTAACTGGAAATGAGTTCTAACTGGAACCAGTTGGGTAACTGGAAATGAGTTCTAACTGGAAATGAATTCTAACTGGAACCAATTGGGTAACTGGAAATGAATTCTAATCGGAACCAGTTGGGTAACTGGAAATGACTTCTAACTGGAACCAGTTGGGTAACTGGAAATGACTTCTAACTGGAACCAATTGAGTAACTGGAAATTAATTCTAACTGGAACCAGTTGGGTAAATGGAAATGACTTCTAACTGGAAATGAATGCTAACTGGAACCAGTTGGGTAACTGGAAATGAATGCTAACTGGAACCCAGGCGCCTACGCAGGGGGGTGGGGGGGGGGGGGGTGTTTGGGGGGGTTAACCCCCCCCCTTTGGTATTTTTATGTGTATAAAACCCCCCTAAAATAAACCTACCCCCCCCCCTTTGGATTTAATTTTTTTTTTTTTACCCCCATGGCTGACCTAAGAAAGGTGACCTTACCCCCCCCCCCCCACAACGGAGCAAAATGTCAAATTTTAAAATTTCGAGACCAAAAAAAAAAAAAAAAAAAAAAGTGTCTTCTTGGATTTTGGTCCTGGGTAATTAGTGAAAATTAATTGCTCCAGCCAGGCTTCGGGCGGAATTGCAGCCTCGATCCGCCAATACGTGAGGCGGCAGCCATAGCTGGTATCGATATTTTTGACGCCTCGCCTTTAATTGCATTCTCTCCGCGATATATACATCATGCAGGCTCAGCCATGTCTCTCAACTAAAATTATGGCTAACCAAAGTGACAAACTTCCACAGAGATCTTATAATGCGAACTTCCTTTGTCGCCCTCTCTAGGCTTACGCTGAATAGCTATCAAGAAGCAGAAGGCAGATGCATGTGCCAGATCGTGAGTGTAAATTCGTTCTTTTTTCTGTTATGTGATAGTTAATTGGTCAATTGTTGACCAATTATAAATTACATGAAGCTAAAACTTATTAGCATGTTATCATTGATGTATTTTATGGGTTTCTTGTTGTCAAATGATAGATTAGAGGGAAGGTTTAAACCGTTCAATCGATGTAAAGGCGTGCCCCACATGCTCGTATTTGTGTGTGTTGTTGAACCGGTAGCAGTACATCCGCGGGATCGGACCGAGGGCAGCCGGTTGCGGCCCGGTGGAGTTTGCTTAGTACGGCGGGGTAGAGGAGAAGAGGAGGAAGATAAAGATAAGAAGAAGGAAGGAGGATGAGCTAGGTCTAGGAGAAGGAAATGGAGCTGGAGGAGAGGATAAGGTGAATTGAGAAGAAGGAAAACAGAATAAAGCAAGGATAAAAATTATTATTATAAATTATTATTTTTAAAGGGAAACAGGATAAAAGAAGGAGGAGGATAAGATTGGGAGAATGAGAAGAGGAAGAAAGGATAAAGCGTCCCTATTTTCACAAAGTGACGGAAATGAGGAAAATCGCATATAATTGCGTGACGATTTTCCTCATTACCATCACTTTGTGAAAATAGGGACAGAAGGATGGATTTGTGCGATTCTCCTCTTCATGAATTTAGTCCTTATGTTTGTCTCAAATAAGAGGGAATAACAAAATGAAATATGAATCTAGATCTAAATAGATAAGACAAATAATCGTTAACAGTGTTTCACCATGGCCATTTCTCCAGCCAGCTAGCAACTTACACATTATTCTTTCTTTGTAATTCTTTTTTAATACCTTTCACTGCTTCAAGGGAAAAAGAAATAACTTACAAAATAATTATTGTGTCTTTGTCATTCTTTTAATACCTTTCACTTATTTATTCATGACAGATTAACAGGATTGGATTATTCTTGAAGTAGTTGCTTTGCCTTAGCCTCCATTATGTTTAGGTTGCAGCTGCAAAGGGTAAGTTGCTATCTGTAGTTATAAAATGTTCCTTTGTATTTCAAGCCATCAAAAATGGAATTATAATTAAAATAAGGAAAGTTAGAGGTAATCCACCCTAGCCTCGATTTGGAATCATACTTTGATTAATTTTGTTACATCACACATATGATCAATAGAGGTTCTTAATCCATTCTGAATTCAAATAGATTGGATTTTTTTATGAATAATACTTGCTCATAATAACAAATTGATTATATCTCCTGTGTTAGTTTTGTTCATTGTTCTTTTTTAGTCTCTATTACATATTTGAATTGAACATTAGAATTTACATTAAGGCTAGGAAAGGTTTACTTCCCTTCTTTGATTATGTCAATGTCTCTTAATCCATCATCTCTCTCTCTCTCTCTCTCTCTCCCTGTCTCAATTTATCTTAGGTATGCTTCAGTGCTGTTCGGATTGGACAATTCAGACAGATGCAACAAAAGGCAGAGAGGAGTAAGTGTAATTTTATTTAGATGATGTTTGAAGGTTTGCATGGTGGTATGAATAATCACGGAAGAGGTTTGCGGTACACCATGTGTAAAGTCCTCGAGGGACTGAGGAAAGTAGATGGAAAATAGAAGTGAGATGGAAGGCGAGAAAGTGGAGGTTAGAAGGAAGAGTATCTTTCGTAAGTGAGATTAGTCCTGAAAAGGACTGTAAACCAGAAAGTTTGAGTAGAAGACTGGATTGAGTTGGAGAGTTGAGTAGGCGAGTAGAGTTGCAGAGCAGGAGCAGGAGAGTAGACTCGACGTTTCGGACAGGTTGACTGTCCGTCTTCAGGAGTGAGTGTTCGCTAGGCGTGCGGCGGTTCTTATGGCGTGGATGCGGACTTGGGGGAAAACAATGAGCCGGCGGGCTCGGCAGGTTGGCAGGCAGCTGTCGGTGGTGGCGCGCGGTTGCGTGAATTGGCGGGAAACGAGTGGGCGGCGGTTATGCGGACGTGGTGTGGTAGGTGTCGGCGGGGGGGGGTAGCGGGGGGGGGGGGGGGGGGGGGGTGGGGTTGTGTCGGTCGTTGAGTGGGTGTATCGATCGGCGGTGAGGATGGCTATTAGTGGTGTCGGTCTGTGTGTGTTGGTCGGCGGTTTCGGCGTTGGCGTAGGTTGTAGCGAGGTGTGGGCGTGGGCGGAGCTTGTGTGGGTGAAGTGGCTAGTTGAGAACGTGTAGTGCTTGGTTGAGTGGGTGTGGTTGGGTGGTTGTAGGTGGTGTCCGGGCTAACGGATGGATGGATTGGTGAAGTGTTGGTGGTTGGCGTGTTGGTTGTGGAGTTGGTTGAAGATTGGTCGGAAGTAGGATGGTGAGGGAGGATTCACGCAATTCACGCAACCGCGCGCCACCACCGACAGCTGCCTGCCAACCTGCCGAGCCCGCCGGCTCATTGTTTTCCCCCAAGTCCGCATCCACGCCATAAGAACCGCCGCACGCCTAGCGAACACTCACTCCTGAAGACGGACAGTCAACCTGTCCGAAACGTCGAGTCTACTCTCCTGCTCCTGCTCTGCAACTCTACTCGCCTACTCAACTCTCCAACTCAATCCAGTCTTCTACTCAAACCTCTCATCCTGCCCAAACTTTCTGGTTTACAGTCCTTTTCAGGACTAATCTCACTTACGAAAGATACTCTTCCTTCTAACCTCCACTTTCTCGCCTTCCATCTCACTTCTATTTTCCATCTACTTTCCTCAGTCCCTCGAGGACTTTACACATGGTGTACCGCAAACCTCTTCCGTGATAATTTTATTTAGTTTGAAATCAATAGGACATTTTACTTGATGGCTATTAACTTCTCTCATTCCCATTTGAAATTTATTACTTTATGAAGTCAAAACAGTTCTGCCAATTTCCCACCACTTCTGTGCAGGTGCAAATATTGCATTGGTCAATGTGCACTGATTAAGTACTATCAAACTTGTCAATGAAAGTTGCCCCAGGGAAACATGAAAGTGGCCACTGTAGACAGGTTTCCGCTGCAGACAGGTGGCCATGTTAGACAGGTTCTACAACACGCATTTCCTTCTAGAGGGAGCCAGTATGCATGACCGTGCAATAAGACAGATTTGCCTGTATATGCGATCAGCTAGTGATAGAATCAGCCAGTCTTGTGACAAATTTGAGGTCATACTTGCAAAATCAAATTTCTCAGATTTCAATCGTATTTTGATGAGAACTTTTGCTAGTATTTGGGGGGGGGGGGATTAGCAGTCGTAAAGTAAAGAATGAAAAATGTCAGGATTTTTGTCTCGCCTGTGTAGCAAAAAGCGAGACATACATGTAGGCGCCGCTTTTCCGGTGGCGGCGGCGTCAACGTCGAATACTTAACCTCGGGTTAAGTTTTTGAAATTTTAGTATAATTTTGAAAGTATAAGTTCTTATTCAATGAAACTTAAACTAAAGGGTTATCAAATATCCCCAATCATGTGAGTAGAATTTCAGGTCACTAAGTTAAGGTCAAAGGTCATTTCAGGTCAACAAACTTAGACTATGTTGTGGCATCAACATCAAAACTTAACAAAAGGTTACGATTTTGAATTTTTATCATAATTTTGAAAGTATACATTCCTATTCCATGAAACTTGAACATAGGGGTTATCAAGTATCATGAATCATGTGATTAGTCTTTTAGGTGTCAAAGTCAAGGTCAAATGTAATTTAAGGTCAGCAAACTTAGACTTTGTTGTGGTATCAACATCAAGATATTGAATAATTCTTCTGATGATTCTTAGCCAATATTCACTTCAAAATGCTGATTATATTCAGAGGATTTTTTTTTTTTTTTTTTTGGGGGGGGGGGCAGTTAATGGGCCACCCTGCGTATAAATAATGTCCCAACCTCAATTTTTCATCATATCAAATTGTGTAATGCAGGCGAGACCGCTGAGAGCGTTTCCCTTGTTCTTTTTACAAGTGTGCCCACATGAGTGATACAATTTTGGCTCATCCAAATTCAAACATGTGCTGCTAGGGAGGATTAGGGCAAGATGTGCGCTGACAGGATGTGCAGAGAGCTTACTGCCAGTTGTGACTGAATTAGAATGCATTTCAGTAGACTCTAGCATGAGTTATCTCTGGTTTTGTATTTTCTGGGCCAAAGGTTTATTTCCTCTTCTCTCTAGTCTCTACAGACATTTAATCAAGTCACTCTCTTGGGGAGGGTGGGGAAAGATGTAGAGCTGAAAGGGAGTGATGAGCAGAGAGGTGTTCTGTGACTTGTCACTGTAGCTTTAAAAATGCATTTTGTGAGACATTCTAGAGCAAGCAAAGAGTATCGTAAGTGCCCAGTAGAGGCCTACACCAGCACTGTACAAAAAGTCATCATCATAATAATCATCATCACCACCATCATTATCATCATCATCATCATCATCATCATCATCATCATCATCATCCTCATTATCATCATCATCCTAATTATCGTCATCATCATCATTCTAATCATCACCATCATCTTCATTATCATCAGTATCATCATCATCCTCATCATGATCCTCATCATCATCCTCATCATTTCTGTAGACTCCAGCCTTAGTTTACTCAGTCTTGGTCCTCTCAGAGTTGAACCTTCTCTTCCTCCTCTCTCTCTCTAGGTGTCAATCAAGTCACTTTGCTAGGGAGGGTGGGGAAAGACGTAGAGCTGAAAGGGAGTGATGAGCATCCCATGGCATCATTCTCCTTAGCAACCAGTGAAAACATCAGGAGCAAGGACCCAGATGAAATAGGTATTGATGAGAGATATTGATGTTGATGTTGTTGGTAAGTGGTAACGACATTACGGGGATGTCGGTTTTCAGCCTATCTGATTGAATGAAATGGTGTATTGCCGTTTGGTCTGCAAATTGATCTATTCCCATGTGGTCTACACCCAGCCCGTCTACCATCCATATGGTCTAATAATCATTTATTCATGAATAATAATAATCATCAAATGATTATAAGACCTTATGAGTGGTAGACGAAATGGGCATTAGACAAACTGGGAGTTCTCAGTTAGACCAACTGGCTATTAGACCATGTGAATAGTAGACGGAATGGGTGTTGACCATATGATTATAGGCTGTGACATCTTTCCATTCCAGGCTTTCATATTGTACAGATCCTTTGAAAGTCCAATATATATGGGTTTCTTTCAAGACTTTGTGGGTAAAACCAACCTCTGCTCATATTCACCACAGCAATAATAGTGAACGGCACGGCAGGAGCACAGACCAATGTATAGCAGAAATCAAACGTCTAGGATACCAATTGGGTGCTGAATGTTATCTTGGTATTGTTATTAATCTCTGTGGCATCAAAAGAGGAAATATGGAGCAACAACACAGACATAGGGGACGTTAGATGATTAAATGGAGAAAGTGATGTGTGGATGATGTTATTATATGAATTCCTTAGCGACCAGAATTTCCAAATGGAAGAGTCAATTGGAAGAAGATTAATGTTGTTTAGAACGTGTTAAGAGTAGCGCATTTAATTTTGATAAACAGAAGAAAGTAGAAAAGAAAAACTGTTGTTCTTTTAACAAGGTAATATTAAATGTATATTTCTACTCAACATGAATCACTTAGATCCTATGATTGGACATTTGAACATAAACAAAGAAGAAAAAAGAACGGTGAAACGATACTTCTTTGGTCATTATTTGTCAGGTGACTTCACTCAGAAGACCAGCTGGCATCGTATCTGTATCTTTAAGCCGGGCCTCGTGGATATTGTGTATACATACTGCAAGAAAGGGTGGGTATCGTACGTCTTGTTCATCATACCACAGTAGCTATTCCTGGGCCCTGTCTCAATAACAAGTAACAATAATTGCTATGAGCTACTGAAATCCTTGCATTTAAAGATAAACTTTAGTACTGGTAATGCGATTGCATTGTGAAAGAAAAGGTGTGAGTGAAAGGATCAGAAACAGTTGATCATGTAGCATGTAAGTATTGGTGTGCACTGCAAGGTTCTGGAGTCATCAAAATCATAATAAATTTGACCGAGTCTTGGTAAAGTAACAAACACTCACATAGAAAGCTATATATGGGACAACACACATGGTGTCGGGGATGGTACTACCTTGGTTTCCTTGTCTTTCTATGCTCATTACTCAGCCAGTATACATTTTCTTCCAAAATTGTTTGGCACATGTCATTTATTTGTAATCTTGAACATTCAGTGTAAGTTTCGTTTGATTCTGTGAGAATTATTATTTTTTTTTACCAGTACTGGAGTTTATCTTTAATTGGCTGTGCGCAGATTTATCATCGATCTGTAGCAGTTGTTTTTTATAACAAGTTTATGACACAGGGCCCTGTTGTCATGACCGATGGTTTAGGTGAACTTTGAAGCAGAAATCTGTTCATAAAGTCTTCATTGAACATATGTCAATGCCGTTTCTCTGTTAGATTAGCTTTAGTTTCGATCTGGTCTAACAATACAAAATGTGGATTCAAATGAACACATATAGGAAAAGGAAGAATTGTTTTAATCCCAGTATGGAAACCTCCTTTTGCTCTTCAGGGCTAAAACCCCTTGAGAGGACAAATACCATACCTGAACAAATAAATGAGTGTATCATAAAAGTCACAGGTGTCAAAACATAATTGTTATGTGTTCTTTAAGGGTAGAAACTAAACCCCCTCCCCCAAAAAATAAATAAATAGGTGTACCGGTATACCTTCAAAAGGGACTTGTATGACTCAAGAAATGTTTCTCCCCTTTTCCAAAACAGGTTTTCAAGTGTATTTGTCACCTTAGTACAAACTTTCTTACTCATGGCTGCAATTTTGAAGAATGCTAGTCATAACAAAGTGGTCTGTTTTAGAGTGGTATTGTGGGCTACTGAATACGTCACCTCACTGTGGATAATTAATTCTTAATTAACCATTAATCTACATTTGCCACACTCCACCCAGGTAAGGTAAATGGGTATCAGGTAGAAAAACATTCCTTAAATGCTTCAGCGCCTTTTCATGATAGCTCTGCTACACCAGGGTTTAATATAATTGCAGGACCTTCAGGGAGAAGGCTACCTTGGTAAACAAGACATATTATTATATTTATCATTTTTATGCCTCCGTTACGAAGTAGCCGGAGGCATTATGTTTTCGGGTTGTCCGTCCGTCCGTCCGTACGTACGTCCCGTTCTCGTGATCGCATTATCTGAAGAACCGATTGATGGATTCCTGCCAAACTTTTGTCATGTATGTATCTTGCAGAGCCTATGAACTGATTAGATTTTGGGGTCACGAGGTCAAAGGTCAAAGGTCACAGGGCTCATTATGTATGCAAAAACAGCTCGTGATCGCGTTATCTCAAGAACCGATTGATGGATTCCGGCCAAACTTTGGTCATGTATGTAACTTGCAGAGCCAATGAACTGATTAGATTTTCGGGTCACGAGGTCAAAGGTCAAAGGTCACAGGGCTCATTATGTATGCAAAAACAGCTTGTGATCGCGTTATCTCAAGAACCGATTGATGGATTCCTGCCAAACTTTGGTCATGTATGTATCTTGCAGAGCCGATGAACTGATAAGATTTTGGGGTCATGAGGTCAATGTCAAAGGTCATGTGGCTCATTATGTATGCAAAAATAGCTTGTGATCGCATTATCATTAGAACAGATTGATGGATTCCTGCCAAACTTAGATCATGTATGTATCTTTCAGAGCCAATGAACTGAGTAGATTCTTGGGTCATGAGGTCAAAGGTCAAATGTCATGGGCTCATGTATGTATATGAAAAATTGATTGTAATCACGATATTCTGAGAACCTGTTAATGGATTACAATGAAACTTGAATTTGATTTTTTTTTTCTGTTTTGGTTTGTAAACTTGCTCTATGACGGAGGCATCATTTTCGACTGCGCGCAGTCGAAGTTCCATCTAGTTATTATTATTTTGATATCTCCCCACAGTGATAGGCTGTATGTAACAGGCAAGCTGGACTACAGTGAGTACACAAACAATGATGGGATCAAGGTCTATCAGACAAGTGTCATAGCAGGTAAGAATAAGATTTGTTTGATGATGATGAGATTTGTTGTACCTGACTGCTAAGAAAACAACCAGGGGACTGACGGCTTTAAGTCCTTTCTGAGGGACTTTGTAATGAGGATTAATGCCTTACTTAAAGGGATCGTTTAACAATGTTATAACTGAGAAACACGGTCCTACATGTTACCAGTGTCTGTGATATGGTGTAATATTGAAGCCCTAAAGAAATCGCGCTTCAAAATGATCAAGAAGTGCCTCAAAAAATTAAAATCTTTGAGTGACCGGTTTTACCATACTCGTTTTCCCCAATAGACTGTAGTGTTATGAAAACCGTTCGCCGAACGGTTTTCAAAATTTGTAATTCCAATCATTAATATCTTGATAATCAGACAGGCGATCGGCTTGTAAAAGTCATGGAGTTCCTGACTGACATAAAGGTTTATAATTATCATTGCAGCATGAGCTAAATCAAGGATTATTTCTAAAGGATCTAAGACAAAGTTACCGGATCCCTTTAAGGGAACAAGCGCATTGACTCGGTTACGAGACCACAGCTCTACTTCTGAGCCATCATCACGCCTCCTCAAAAGATGCTTTTTTCATTTTCGTCATTCTGTGACCAGACTAAGTTAAATAAGAGTGTACTGTAGCATTAAAAACGGATTCCTTTCTGTAAGTCTTTGGTCATGGAAGGTGAGATCAAATGGTTTTGATAGTTTAAATTATATAAATATAAGATAATTACATCATTTCTTTCCTTACTGATTTTATCTTTGTGAGCCTGCAGACAATAAAATCATGAAGTGAATCTTTTATACATTTATTCTACGTTGTGTTATTTTAATGGTTAACTAGCTGCCTTATTGTTGTGCAAGATGTTTTGCCCCACTTCCATTAAAGTTCGAAATGAAACCCCTAACCCAAGGACAAACAAGGATATACTAACTAAGCATTCTAAAGGGAGATGACAAAGTCTGTATTTAAAACTCTTTGGCTCGAATTCACAAAGGAGGTTTGTCGACAAACCAAGGTTTATGTACGTCATATGACGCGTTTTGAAGCATTTTTTACAAACCTGGTTTGTAAATAACAAAAGGAGGTTTGTCGACAAACCTCCTTTGTGAATTCGGGCCTTTAGGTTTTTGAAAGTGTGTATAATGGGATGCACCACACCAGCACAAGTTGGATGATTGCTATACCCTAAAATTTCAACTCAAATTTTGCAGACGTTCCATAATACTTTGAATACTAATTCCCAGATTATAACACACAATCCTGACTGTGGAAAATGATTGCACATGACATTTGGATGCCTTTTATTGCCTAAAATCACTGTCTATTTTGTTATTTACATGTATGTCATTTTTCCTACAGATGAAGTGATTTTCCTGACTAGTGAAAACAGGAGAGATGGCTACTGAATGAGCACGTGAGCGAGGGATCGGTTTACGAGCGAGGGAGTGCTTGCCCTACCAGAGTACCAATATAGCAATACACAGAAGAATGTAAAGTCGTCTATGTGGCATGAAAGGGGTACATCCCTGTCCTAGGTGTATCTAGTATTTATTTGCGTGCCCCTTGCCCCAGTGTGGTTGTTCAAAGCATGGGGCACGTATGTGATTCGGATTTGAGCACTTTGTCTTCAAATGAAGGAGATAAATGAGCTTGCCCCACTATCTAAGATGAACACTTAAAGCCCCACTGCACTACTTAAAGCTACTTGCGCCCTCTAATAGCGAACAATGCCTAATCGGTGACCATTAGTCCCCCATGGTCCCCTTTTTTGTATGTTAATTGAGAGCTGATTTTGATGAAATAACCACCTGTCACTGACCATGCAGGGAGGTCTAATCCCTCCTCCCTCCTGGCCAAAGTAGTGCAGATAGGCTTTAAGGAGTATAAAGCCGTCTGTGTGGCATGAAAGAGGTATGTCCTTGCCCTAGGTATATGTAGTATTTATTTGCTTGCCCGTTGCCACAGTGTGTTTGTCGGAAGCATGGGGCAAGTGTGCAAGTAGGATTCAAGCACTTTTTCTCCGAAGGAGAATGATAGATGAGAAAGAAAGCATCGGATAAGAAAAAGGACTCTGTTTCACAAAATTTGTTATCAATAACAAGTTACGACAATTGTTATAAGCTACTGAAATCCTTGCATTTGTTTGACTGTGAGCAGATTTATCATAGATCTCTGGCAGTTGATATTGACAACAAGTTTTATGAATTGTTGTTGTTGTTGTTTTAGTCTTAAAGGGGTGTGTCATTCAATTGTGAATATTTACGCCGAATCCAGGTTTTATTAATAATTTTAAATTGGAGCAGAAAAGAGAGAAAAAAAAAGAAAAAAAAAATCAACGCTGTTCAATTTTTTGCATTTTGCGGAGATTCCAGACAGGCTGTCTACACAAAATCATTTGACCGTTTTGTGCGGGCCTAGGTTTAGTCTCCTGTATTCATTTAGCAAAATATATATTTTTGTAATATATTTTATTGTGTAATTATTACGCTCCTACATTTTTTTGATTTTTAGTGGGAATAATGTCCACAATCTAACAGAAAATAATTTTTTTCATTTGTTTCCTACTTTGTTATGTGAGGTTTCGCAATGGAAATAGGCTTTTGCCTGTACGAATGAAATCCATATTCATATCCGCTTAACACTTTATACGCCTCAAAATCAATCTCCCCGTGCCATAGGCTATTTATCGTGGCATAGATACGCCTAAGGCTTCAAGATAATTAAGATTAATCTATAATGGTATTAAAATGTTGTCATGGAGCTATTCAAGACCGGAAATGGGTAATCTTTGCAAAACCACTGTGATGATTGTGTTAAACAAATTAATCCTTCCGTCAATTGGTGCCTACTGCCTATTGTTCTGTGCAAAATTGCATGTGTGGCAAATGAGCAACCATGCTGAGAGGTGAAGAAAGCAACCAAAGTTTTGAATAAGAAACATTAGCAACCTCTACACAAGGGCGAGGGTGATGTGTTTTGTTTTCCATAGTGCTATTTTGATATGACCCAACTACCCAAGCATGTCTAGATCGTGCCATTTTCGTAGAATTTTTAAGGACAGACTGAAAGTATGATGATTTTTTTTCTATGCACAGAGTTTTATTTACATTCAGATGTGTAAACCATCTCACAAAATGCCATGCTGCAAAATAAAAAAATGACGTAAAGGCTGGATGCTACGAAACTTCCAATTATCCTTCAAAATGTTGTCTTTGCATGTGAGTAGTATAGTGTAATTATTTTTTACTGATTTCCCTTTTTGTGGCAGGGGCATTTCTAAGATGGTTCATTTCTTCATGTTGATATACAGTGAAACCTGTATATAAAGACCGCTCAAGGGAACATGAAAAGTGGTCTTTATAGGAAGGTGGTCTTTATGTACAGGTTCCTTTAGTACAGGTTTCAATGAGAAACCATATTCAAGGGAAATGTAAAATGTGGTCTTTATAGACAGGTCACAGGTGGTCGCTAAAGTAGGTTTGATTGTATAATGTTTTCATACCTTGCTTTGTTCTCTCTCACACCAACAATCATCCAACAAATCAACAATAAAAAACAGACAATGTTACGCTCTGTTTTAGAGTTATTATCTTCCAAGATAGTTTTTAATGAGGTTACCGATCACAAAAAGGCAAGATTGGCCTTCCGAAGTACATGTACAAACATCAGATTGAGAATTTAAATATGTCTTTGTATTTTACAAGCATACAAAACATGAGCACTAAAAGATTTACTTTGTTCATATTGTGATACATCCAGGATTGGAACAAATAGTTGACCAGGATTAATAGCAAAATCATAATTTTTTTCCCTTCATACCTTACCCCTTTTCCATGGTATCTAATTTGACCATTTTCAAATAACAGACATGATGGCCCAAATTCACCAGGAGGTTTGTAGACAAACCTAGGTTTATGTGCGCCATATGATGTGTTTTGACATGTTTTTGACGCGTTTCAGACCAAGGTTTGTCTGAACCTTGGTCTGAAACGCATCGAAACCCGCTTAAACCTAGGCTTGTCTAAAAAAAAACTCTGTTGTGAATTGGGCCAATGTAAACTAATGTTGGTTTGGTCTAAATTTGTGGGTTAAATATTTGTCTCGATACATTAACTTGCATTCATGTAAGCCTAAAGCAATGATGTGTTTCATTCAAACTTAGTCTTTCCTGGACCTGTAAACCATTCAAAAACTCTTAATTTTTCCTCTCCAGATACGCTTTTCTCTCTATGGACATTTGTTGTATACCCCCCCCCCCCCTACGTGTATATAAATATATATACATGTATATATAAATGGAAACTGTTGTATGACAGAGATATACCAGTACAGTGATTTCTTAAACCACAAGTATTTTTGCAGTACATTTTACGAAAATTGCAAAATTTCATCAACACTCTTATTAGTTTACCTTTACGTGTGGTAGAGTCTTTTACAGTAGCTTAAGTCAATGCCTTCAATACAGATGTACAGTGAAGAGTATTTGTTTAATTGTCACAGTTGTATGAAGATAGCTTGCCAATTAATATGAAACAAAGTTCAGACAATTTCAAATCACACTTTATAGAGGGGAATTATTTTTTATAATTAATGAGTTTTCTACAAAAATCTTTCACATTGTTCTCGTTCTCCTTGTTCTTTATGCCAAAATATATATCTGCTACTCAATCTTACCATCATGTCTTATCAAAAAGTACAGTCATGTTGTTCATGTTGCTGCTAAACCATGTACCATGATTTCATAAAATGTAATTACTAATATAAAATTGTACATTCCTAACTGAAACTGATGTAAAATTGATTAAACATGATTAAAAATCATTAATTTTCAAAGATTGAGTTATGATGTAATGATTTAGTTATATACAGTAAGTTCACAATTAAATCGATTTTGAACATGTAGTACAGTTACACACTTAAATGATAAAAAGCATGTTTGCATATTTAGTACTGAACAATATCTTACAAAATTACACAACTTCTACACCAAAAATTGATTATACAAAGCAAATGTATACCCATAACATATAAGCAATACTTTAATAATCTCCGACCCTATAATTGTGACTCCTTATTTCAGTTTATTTAACGAAAACATGTCTTCTCATGTGTCTCCTTTTAGTGAGGTTTTTGCATGTTCTACTGATCCAAAATGCTAGGAATTAGACATTACATGAGCAGAAACTCCAGAAAGAGCAAAAACCACAGAAAAATTTGATTTCATTTCCAATACAGTACATTGTGCTGTTCTTGTATGTATTCAAATTGGGTTTTTAACAAAAATAGGGGGAATATACTTTCACATTGGTGCATTAAATAAACATTTTCATTTATTTTTGAACGATGAAGGAGTGGAAAATAGGATTAATTGTTGCTAATTTGGGGAGGAAATGCTGATTAATTGAGAAAAAATAAACTTTCTAAACTACTATGGTTTAAGGTTTTTTCCAAATGGAAAGACCAGGAACAGAATTCATAGTTTTGCAGCAAATATTGATCAAGTATAATGGAATGTGTCTGGTATTTACAGAAGCTTTTGAAAATGAAGACAGTAGGAATAAGGAAATCAGAAGGAGAGGAAGGGCAAAAGAGTGTAAGAGATCTAGACATAGAGAGAGAGAGAGAGAGAGATGGATAGAGAGAGAGAGAGAGACAGGAAGAGAGAGAGAGAAAGAGAGAGAGGGAGAGACAGAAACAGAAAGAGGGAGGGAGAGAGAGAGAGGTAGAGAGAGAGAGACAGAGGGTGAGAGAAAGGATGCACTGTACAGTATAGTACAGAGGTTAAATTGAATAAGAGAAGCTAAAGGCCGAAAAAGGGCGCTATGACATAGTTCTCATGATACTGCATATGACTTGTTCCCTCCACAAACATGAATCATTTTTCTCATTCCCAATAATTGCTAGTACATGTATGTGGATTTTTAAACATTATCATGGAAATTGGAATGAACTATCTCACCATTTGTTAACAAATATTTTGATCATTACTAAAGATATTCTCTTTGGTGGAGGTATATCCCATATGATATCAAGTTCAATAACATTGCACAAACAAAGGATTTAAGTTGCAACACAACCATACAAGTTAACAGATTGCATTCCAAAATTTGATGAACAGATATCGATTCCTCAAAATGTACACAAGCACAATTTCTAAAAATAGATTGTGCTCTTAACTTAACCAGACGATCTATAACTTTTGTGAAATCAATACATGTAGTTCTATCAAGAGAAATGTTAACCAGTCTTGTAGAAAAGCACACAAACATAGCGAACATAAACAAAATAATAATTTACACCGCAAGTTTATCATACCCTAGAAAATCATATTGCACCAAATAAATAAACACAAAACGATACTAACAGAAGATATTCAACAAAATCACAAACGCTAAGTTTCTAACTTATATTACAAGTTATATTACACGAGTTCTTAACTGTGACTTTGGACAAAAACTTTCACTAAGTCTTCCCATGAGAGTAGATTCATATTTTAATTTTCATGTTTGCATATATAATCTGTTATTGTATAAATACCTAAAACTAATCAGAAAATGTGGCATACATTTACTCTGAATATATGAAATGCAGATCATGATGATGTCAGAGTTTGAAATCTAATATCTTAGGAACGAAGCTAAGAACAATAAGAAAGCAAGAGTCCAAAACATTGTATGCTTTGAAGTATGGGAACATAATGATCTAAACTGTTGTGTTCAAATTTTATTAATTTGAAATGCAGATCATGATTATGATAACATTTGAAACTAAAAATACAACTTAAAAAAAATAAAATTGAAGAGCCGATCAGAGAACAGGAAGGAAGAGGGATGGAGGGGTGCAACTGCCCCCCTTTCAGGGTAAGCTACCACTCATCATAGGTACTGGTGCCAAGCCTCTCTCCTCTATCACATCCATCAGACACCGGTGGATGAACACGTATTGTTGCTGTATGGGTAATTAAAGAAGAGATGGAATGAAGAAAACATTAGAATAACCAAAATGGATATTTGCATAATATGATATTACTTAATGATTAACTAAATGTGAACAACATGCCATAAGATAAGATAGGCAAATAAAAAAAGAAGGAAGAAAATGTTTGAATAACCAACATGGACAATAGTAAAATATAAATAAACTAAATGAGAATAAGACGCGATAATATAATAATATGAAATAACTCAATGGAGAATATGTTGAGATAAACGAAGATGGGCAAACAAAGAAAGAAGGAAGAATATGTTCAAATAACCAAAATTGATAACTTTATATGATATTACTTAATGAGGAATAAAGTAATCAAAAATGAGATGGAACGCAGGAGGAGATGAGGAGAAAAGAAGAGGTATGAGGAAGAGGAGGGTAACTGAGAAGGAGATGAGGAAAGGAAGACAAGGAAGGAGAATATGAGGAAGAGGATAAAGACTAGATGAATATTATAAAAGGAAAATAAGACGTTAGAAAGAAAAAAGAAATAAGAGAAAGAAGGAAGGGATAAATAAACCACTCAAGCCACATCTTTTCTGCTGGAAATTACTTTATTACCAGCCTACATATTTACTGATCTCTGAGAAGTGTCTAACTTTTTTTGTTTTAAGAGGCCAAAACATTGCAGAGCGTGTGTGCAGCGCTTTGTAACTGCAAGGAAAAGGCGCTATATCAAATATCTTTGGATTGGATTGGAAATAAGAAGGAAAATAACTAAGATAAACAGGGGGCAAGAAAGACAAGGAGATAGACATGAGTTACAAGATAAGCAAATATTCAGCTCAAGAAAAAAATAAATTACCCACCTCTGTTTGGACCATGAAGTTTCTATGCATTCTCATCCCGCACACGACACCCATAACATCTACAAAGTCATACTGCTCCATGTGCTGCAGGATGTTATCCAGGACTATGAAGGTCCCTGTGCGCCCTACTCCAGCACTGCAGAAAGGATCAACAAGAACAGGCACATCAATAGATACTGTCTAGCGTTAGACTGGACGGGGGATAAGTTTTGCTATAACAAAATTATCTGCAACTTTTAGGGTACCGGTATACGCTTTTGTTTTATCCAGCTTCTTGATTACTTTCTATCCAAATCATACTTGACAGTAATTCGTGTGATCATAAATTATCAGTTCCACCATTAACATCAGTATATAATCATCATCAGCAGCACCACCCTAATCATCATCATCAACATCATCATCTTCCCTATCAAAATTTGTCATCATAATCATCGGCAGCAGCAACATCATCCTCTTCCTCCTCCTCATAATCACCATCACCACCATCACCATAGCAACCGTCATCACATGCATCTTCCTTTATGCCTACCTGCAAAGCACTGCTGTGGGAGCTGTAGAAGGTAGCTAGCAGGGTGCTTCTGATTCTCTTAATGAAAGCTAGCACAGCCTGGCTAGAATCTTGTACACCATGCATCATCATCGATCATCACCACCACCACCACCACCACCACCACCACCACCATCACCACCACCACCATCATCATCATTACCACCACCACCATCATCACCACCGGCCACCACCACCACATCCACCACCACCACCACCACCACCACCATCATCACCACCACCACCACATCCACCACCATCATCATCATCACCACCACCACATCCACCACCATCATCATCACCACCACCATCATCACCACCACCACCACATCCACCACCATCATCATCATCACCACCACCACATCCACCACCACCACCACCACCACCACCATCATCACCACCACCACCAACACATCCACCACCATCATCATCATCACCACCACCACATCCACCACCATTATCATCACCACCACATTCACCATCACCACCATCATCTATACTATCATCATCTTTCTCCTTGTCATTGTCCCTCATTTTCATCATCAACACTGAAACCACCATCATCATCATGAACATCGTTACCATATATCATCCTCTCCCCCCACCCCTCCTCCTCCTCCTCCTCCTCATCCTCCTCCTCCTTCTCCTCCTACTCCTCCTCCTCCTCCTAATCATCATCATCTCCAAGGTGACCATCAACACTCGCTACCCACCATTAACACCCCATCCTCTTTCTCGATACCTACCTGCAATGTACCGCAACAGGAGCAGAAGAAGGGGGCTTGGTGCTTCTGATTCTCCTAATGAAAGCTAGGAGAGCTTGGCTAGATTCCGGCACACCATGGTCAGGCCATGAGAGAAAGTTCCAGTGCCTAACATAGCGCCGCTGATCTCTCTGAAAACAAAGTTAGCACGACGATAAACAATCAATAGAAAGCTGTCTACTGTGAGATACTTGTGCTTTGATGATAATGTTCAAGTAATCATAAAGTTGAGATATTCTCTAGTAATTTACAATCAATTTTATAGTGTACTTAAATCTTTTTATCTTCTCTTAATGATTTGAAATAAATATCCCACAAGACTGACAAGAGAGTACAGTTATATGCGGACAGAAATGGTGGGAGAAGGGTGAGTGTGTGCAGTTGAGTTTTTACTGACGTGTATCAATCAGATATGATTATTTACATCTGGGGTCCGACCTTTAACCTCACCATCCAAAAGACGTGACTCAGTTTTGAACCGGGGTCGCCTGAGCCTGAGATGGGCAGTCACTCCATCTTATATAATTTACGTCAGTCTGCCAATTCTCAGAAAATTGTCTGAACTCTATTGATATTAAAACTGTTACAGATAGTTCTTGGGTAATTATAACAACTTCCAAACCAAAATATTGGTCTCTTCTGTTAAATAATTCGACAAGAAAGAAATGCTTACCAGTTGCACAGCAAATTCTTTGATATTCCAATCATTTTCTTCAAAGGTTTGGTTCATGGTGACCTGGATATCACCATAGAGGACAGGCATGTGATCGTCAGGCCAATACTGGTCACATTTCACCTAGAACAGGAGACGAAGCAAAGATGGAAAGTGGGATGGAAAAATAGGAAATTTAAAAATGGAAATATTTAAGACCCTTTTTAGATCTAATTTAATGTCATCTAATTCAGTTTTATTGTTTAAAAAAAAAGAGAGAAGAACATGGATAAAGTCTGGAGACTAATAATGTCATTTGTACATTAAAACATTAGAAAAACATCAAATAAGGTTACCAAATGTTCATTAACATATAGTAGTTTAATAATAAACAAAAAACAAGTCTGTCTCGACAGACAAAACCCTCTTGAAACGATGTAATTCTGGATCAGTCCAGTGGCAAAATCCAGAACACCCAAATGAATGCTAATTTTGCTCTGATATATGTATACAAAAGATAAGTGATTTGGAAAACGGCCACCATGAAACACCAGAGATATACTTAATCACATGACCTCTTTCTTATTCAGAAAGATGATTGTATTTCTTTTTAAAATGGTTGAAATAAGTATAAAGCAGCTGAAAGAAGGTAGTCCATTGATGAAAGAGCCTTGGCAAATGTGCCACAAGTTACAGATGCAATAGATTATTACTCCACCATTTTGTTAAAGGTAATACAAAGTTTGGGGAAATTTTGAAAATTGGGTAAGTAGTGATTCTTTACAATTTTGATATATTTGGATGCCCCTGTAGATGTATTATAAGCACGAGAATATTTAGTCTCTAAAAGACTTCTACTTTCGAGAAAAATTGAATATAAAAATTTACCGGTGCTCCCGGTAAATTTTGATGAATTTCAAATAGCGCCTACGATCGTACAATGGTAGCTGCGACCATGAAACTCTAAGAATATGTAGTTGTGATACATAATTTTCAAACAGGAATAGCTTATCGGTCGATTTTAGTCAAGAAACATTTGTTATAACTTAATTAATATCTTGACCTTGAGAGGGAGCTATGCAACATAAAGAGTGTATTATTTACAATTTCATAACTTTAGACTCGATTTCAACAGCGACAACGATCACGGAATATTGTAGGAACGCATATACTTCCAATATGTTCATTTGAACCAAATTCATGACCCCATACCAAAACTTTGTATTACCTTTAACCAGCTTGAAATTGGTTTATGATTCACAGCTCCGATAAAAACGATTTCAATCATTTATTCTAGACACAAGCCCGACATGTTTGCAATCAAGCTCTCAGTTTCTTTCAACACAACCCACGCAGCAGTATCGATAGTGTTACTCTCGTCTGTGAATTTCTCACCTTGCCTTTCTCCACCAGTTGCGTTACCATGACAACCGTGGTTACATTCTGCTCCCAGATCATCCTCCACATATCATCAGTGGTGCCTGGGAGAGGCCCCTGGCAGGCGATGTATTCACGCGGGGAGGTGAAACCCTGAGAATGACACAAATGAATTGAATACATCATTACTCCTCTCTCTCTCTCTTTCAAATTTTACCTCTCTTTATCCTTTCCCTCTCCCCTCTTTCACTTTATCTTTCTTCTTTCTTTTTCAATTTACTGACAACGTGATAATCACTATGGTTTTCTTTCAATATATAGTAAGCTTATTCTTTACATTAAATATATCAATTTTAATCGATATCATTATATTGTAGTATTGATATTAATATACCATTTTATAATTTACAATCATTTTTTGGGGGTGATCTTTTTCCTACTTTAACTTATTACTGAGTTATTAAATCTACTGTTTTTAATGCATTTTGATATGATACAATGTGAACAAAGTAGTTTTAGTCTTTGGGCTTTTTATTTGGTTTATTTTTAATAAAACCGAAATTGATTTTTGTTGTTGATTGATTTCATTATCAGAATGAAAGAGGATGTCTTAGGAAAGGAAACCCATTTCTAATACAATTTTTTTTTTAATTCGTGTATTAAACTTCAATTCAAATGTCCAATGTGCGTTCAACATGGATATGCGTTTTGTAAAATAAAGGCTTAGACACCGTTTAAAAAGAACAGAAAATAGGATACAAAATATGGATACATTTTGGTGATGACAAAATATTAGTCATTCACAATATTGATAATTGCTGGCTTCGTTTCTGTAATTCATGTAATTTAACTGTTTTCATGCATACCTACAAATGTTCTACGATTGAATAGTCTGACCTACTAATAAAATAATATGTAGGTCATACGAAAAATCAATTTTCTTTCTTATAAATTACTGGTGCAGATGAAAGTGAAGGGGGGGGGGGGGTCTGGCATGACAGCTCCTGCCCAATTTAAACCCCAACCCGGCATTGATCGGTATCTCAAAACAATTTCTTATACTTGTAATAGATTATTTCAATTATACTTCCCTAATTTTTGTTTACAGAAAATAAAATTCATATTACGAATGAGAAAGAAGAGAATTGTGTAGCCGTATGGGGGCATTTCAGCTGTTTTGTTAATGAGTTTAACACCCCACTATCTCGACTTTATTGGGATTTGTTCAATTTCTAAACTGAACAGAATGAAGAAGAACAATAAAGAGGAAAAGAAGTATAGCCCTTGGCGTAAATCTTACAGGTATGTAGTTTGAATTGATGTAATCCGATCCCTCTTCGTCATCAACTGGGCTCAGTTTAACCCTTGTACGATCATCTGAAAAATACAAAATGATATTTAAATTTCATTAAATATATTTTTTTGTTTTGTTTTTCAACAGGATAATTAACTCAAGTCCATAATAGACATGACATACATAAAAGAATGTAGAAAGAGTTAGAATTAAAACTGTTCGTAGATTGGATTTTTGAAAGTTTGTTAAAAAAATAAATTAAAACACATGAAAAAATTGGTTCCCCCTTAACAACCCAGCTTCACCTTTCAGCCGATTCCAACTGACAAGGAGCAAACATTTTTTTCTTCTCCGGTTAACAGTTTTTTGTTAAATTGAATGATTTCGGTCGCGCCATTGAGCGGCTGCAGTTGGGCTTAATACAACTGTAGAGTGAAATTAAAGTTCAAACACCCCCCCCCCCAACAACAAAAAAGGGGGAAAAAGAAGTAGAATTTAGCCGAAGAATCTCACAAGGAAAATGCAGGGACAGAACACGGTAAAATGAAGATAATACTAAGAATGAGACACATACAGAGTGGCAGAGTCTAACGGAAGGCAAAGAGATGAGTAAGAAGTGAAACAACGATTATGACAAAGAAAAAGTGGTCAAACTCACATGGCAGAATATTAGTGTAGCGATTTTTGCCCACATTTGCTGGCGAGACTGCGGTGTTCGTCGTCATCTTGCGTCCTACTTTACGAATAGCCTGTTAAATGGTACAACGAATGAAAATGAGAATGCTAACATACATCTGAACGATCTAAATGATACACCATATTTGCCTCATAAACGCAAAAAGATATAGCGAGTTTCTCTGTATTAAAGTGTTTCATATTCTGATGTTTTGACATCAGCTTTTTAAGTTCGTTAAAAGAAATAATTTTATGTGACATTTTTACTTATTTTTACAAATTTTTAAATACTAGTTTAATGAGCCCTGTAAAATTTCGGAATGCATCTATATAATTTGATACAAGGAGACACGTGAATTATATCTGATGTATTTCCCGTTATTGTTACAGTATTTCGAGTTTTAGAGGAAGTACAATGAAATTGGAAATTCTACTTATTATAAACATCCCGAATCCATTTAAAATAGCGTACACATTTTGGAACAAGAGATCTATTTTGTTTCTACGAACATTGCAGACTAAAAAGCTGATGTAATCTTTTTGTTTTTCCACTCACCTCATATTCTTGCGAGTAGCCATAGTTACTGTCTGCATTCATGCTAAACCAATCGCGGGTAAAATCACTCAAACGAACAGGTCTAGAAAAGAAGGGAAAACATTGAAATGTCACAATGTTACAAACTAATAAAAAAATCAACCCTTTCAAAAAAAGAAATCCAAATAAACGAATACGCAACCACATCTGAATCAAATGGAGAAAATAATCTTCTTCATAGTGTAAATGTAAAAGTTTGAAAAGATTTGGAGACCAAACTTAAAAGAAATATCCAACAGGAATGACAAAACTCTTCCGAGCTTCCTTTGAAGAAAAAAAAAACACTAATCCGTCTATTATGATAGCATCTGCATATGGGCCAAATTTTCTGACTATCTACATTTAGATGTTGCTATTTCAGGTAAGCTTTTAACGTCATTAAGTACCATCTTTTCTCTTACAAGTTTACGAAAGATCTGAATACATTTAAGAGACTTGTCAGTTTCTGTTAATTTATTTAGCCCTCCATAGGCTTCTTTAGTGGATAAAGTCAAAAGAAGAAAGAAACCATCATACAGTTACATATGTCTGACTCACTTGCTTACAAGGTGGTTCTCTCATATTTTTACAAAATTAAAACTCGACTTGACTGCCACGTAATAACAAATTTTCCACACATATCAGATAAATAACAAATATATGTTTCATCCTCATATTAGTGAGCCCATTTGCTTTTAATTACACCAAATACAGGAATCTTATTGCTCAGCTTTTCTAAGAAATGTTGTTGCTTTATCAATGTAACTATGCAATTGAGTGTATCATTTTTCCTTTCTTTAAACCAAATATGATATTTTCTCTTGTAAACTTAATCTGTTAATGTGTACGTTCATATATCTATCGTGCTGTTTCATTCCAAATCATGTTTTTACTTAATTCACATCCCCCCCAAAAAGTGCACGGTATTTTCTAACTCTCTTTTACAAAATGAATTTCGATGTTACCTGGAATGTTTTTGTTTTGAGATGGTGTGATGTGAATTGTTTGGTACACGTGTTAGCTCGACATCTTTCATATTGGCTGGGAGATAGCGTCCTCTGCCGTCCAGTCTGTCAAGAAAAAGAACAGAAAATAGACTACAATGCAATAATAGAACAAATTTCTGTTGGTCAACAGGGTAAATTTCAAATAAATCACTTTTTAACAAGGCTGTGTTTGAGCTAAGAAGTCATTTTTTCCTAACGAATGATACACACAAAATATCTAGCAAGACAGCAAAAAAATATTAATGAAAAATAAAAATACGAAATAGAAAAAATTAATAAATAACATATTCACAAAAAAAGAGGTCGTCAGATTTTAGTTTGCCGATGGGAGTAAAAAGACAACTTTTCAAATGTTTTTAATTTGCCGAGAGAAGTTCCAAATCTTATGACGCACCTGACTGAACATATTGCTTTGCCGCAAACACATTGACATAATTATTGCATTGCTCAATTAAAAAATTATAAATGTATCTGTAATATCCAACTACATGTACATGTACTTCGAACATTTACATACAAACATTATCAATTATATACTCTTAATTGATTAGTTTTGCAACAAAACTGAGCAACACAACATTCACTGAAAAAATAACTACGAAGCCACAAGCCTACAATGAATTACTGAAAACTACCAGGGGTGGGATGCTAATCAAACTATGGCGGATAGCGAGGCTCCGGCTTATTTCGTTCCATCGGGTCTTCGGGTTACATGAACTTTACACGAACTTTCGTGAATAATCATAGCTCTAATTCCCGAATGATCGGGTAAAAAGATTGAGAAAAACTACTCTCATCGTCTAAGTGCCGCGTTCAGTATACCCGAAAGTGCAATTTCTCAAAAACCTAAAGCAAATCTACAAAACCTCGCACCTCGACCATTTGTAATACTTTAAAACAAGGCTAACAATCATAATAGTTTTAAAAGGCCAGCGGTCGACTGCACTTCGTCGTTGTCTGATTGTATAGGCACCTTTTCATAAATGTAGACATAAAAAGATCAGCCCCATCTCAAGGACCATCTTTCAAAAATGTATTTAATTGCATTCAGTTTACCCGATATTTCTTGAATATAGGCGCATGTTTTCACAAAAATATCCCGCAGCTCAACCAGAGGAAATACCCAAACTGCCATGAATATTGTGGTATGTTTTCACGAATAATTGTGTAACTCAAGAACCTGACCCGATGCGAAGACCCATTGGAACGAAGTAAGCTCGGGGCCATTCGTCCATAACACACCTCTTTTCTTTCCAATTTGCTAAATGAGTTTCATAGTACTAACTAGAATTAAGGTAATGATGTAACACACTATAAAGCAGGAGGTAAAATCAATACAAATGAATGAAATGTTGTCATAATGAATGCAATAACAATTTTAAAAATAGCAATATAAATAAACAGCCCAGAGGAGAACAAAATAAAATGTTACTACAAATGCAGAAAATGGACAGGAAAAGGACAGAGCCTAAGAAATTATTATATCTCTACAATAATTGTTGGCAACATAGTTAATTTGGATAAATTTCACTCGGGAACTCAAAACAGAACAACTGACAAAAAATCACTAATTTCACAAAGGCCACAAAAACATCAATGAAGGATTCCAAAAACATGCAATGGAGTCGAATTATGCTGCCATGGTTACCTGTGCTTGCATTGAAGGACAACTCGCAGACATTTCTGAATTCTGTGGTGGTGGTGATGATGATGATGTAACAATAGAGTGATAATGTATCAGCATTTTATCGTTCTTATTGTTTATATCAAACAAAATATTAACACACTTTAGAGAGTCGTGAATAAAAAAGGAAAGGAATTTTTGCATCTAAGAACTTTTTCCATTAAGAGTGCTTGTAAGTGAATTTTACATTATAATGGATGATACATGTACGTGTGGTTCAAAGTCGCAAAAAGATAATGCACAGATACGATCACGTACGCCTTGAAAGTTGACAAGATAAAGATAAGTTTGTAGAGTACCTTATAAAACCATAGACAGTGTTAAGCAAATACATATTTCGAAATCATGATTATCTTTTTACCTTGGGGTTCCGAACGACCGCAGACTACCTGTACTTACATTTCACATCTAAATTATTCATACCTTACCAAGTCTTGAAATTTTATAAAGTGAGTTAAAAAAATTATCTGTCGCGATGTATGTTTCTTAAAAATGTGATATATCAAAGCTTACATCTAAAAGTATTCAATAAAGGCCCAAATTCAACCATTTAACCTTTCATTCTTGAGTTACAAAAATCACCACAAACATTAGATTTAAAAGGTTGTATGAATAATTTAGTTGTTACCTGTAATATCATTATTCAATACGACTTTGTTTGAACTTACCTGAACTTCCTTACAATGATGACGATGGAGAGGATGATGACGACGACGAGCAGGGAGAAGAGAGCCGTGCTGATGCCGATGATCACGCCGTGCGGACTCATGGCTAATAACAACAAAGATAAAGATCATCATGTGATATTGTTGACTATATTGTCATAACATTACCACTGTTAATTCTTAAAATCATCATCATCATTATATTCATTATCACTATCATTAGAATGATCAGATTTACATCAATCAGCGGCAGTAATTTTAAGATGTTATTATTGTTACCACTGTTAAGTTTCATCATCACCATCATCATCATCATCATCATCATCAGCATTATCATCATTATATTCATTATCACTAGCATTATAAGTATTATCATTATTTTCTTCAATCAGCGGCAATAATTCCAAGATTTTTTAATTAGCCGTAACTATATGAATCATCATCACTCATTATGACTTGATAGTCACTACTAGATAAATGTTAACATTATCATTACCATTGTAAAGTTTCATCATCATTATTATTGTAACGAATTTTAACGAAGTTATCATCATCATTGGTAACATGTATCATAATTTGAAGGAAATTTATGTGATTTTTTGTAGGCCAGTACTAACAGATATGAATGTGTGTGGGTGGGACGGGGTTGAGTGGGTGTTTATGTGGGTGTTAGAGGGGTAACCATGCATGATTTACAACACCTATCTGAAATAGATTATTAATGTCAAAACCGTTTCTGAACCTATCTGATAGCATGTGTCACATATAAAAGGAGATCAATGAATGCATATGTGGGTGTGTGTGGATGAGAGTGTGTGGAGTGCTAGGTGCGTGCGTGCGCTCGTGTGTGTGTGTGTGGGTGTGTGTGTAAGGGTTGAATGAGGTCTACAATGTTCTAAGTATGCCGAGATTTATGAATACACTCGTCTTTAGGAAGAGGGAGATAGAGTGGGTGTTTGTGTGTGTTTGTGTGTGTGTGAGTGAAAGAGAAATCATTACTCTTTTTTATACTTACGTAATGACACAGGGAGGGAGTTCTTGGTATCTGCATATCCACCGGGTGATATTCCACGGAAACGATACCTGCACAACATGATAATGATGCATAAAATGGATAAAGAAAAGAAAACATCAGTTAGATCTACTACGGTAGTGGCAATGGTTTGAAAAGTGAAAAGAAGCAGGAAAAATAAAGAAAGAAAATATATAATATAAGGACCACAAAGAGAGGATATAGGTCGAAAAAACAGGAAAGAAGAGCAAACAAGACCAGAAGAAGAAAACAACGTTGCCAAGAATGACCAAAAATATAACCGAAAAAAGATAGCCAAAATAAAGCTGAAAATAAAGCTGAAATTAAAATCCCAAGCGCAAAGGCGATGAAGATAATGGAGAATAAATCAACAGAGGTACTAGTAACAAAAATACATGCTTGTGATTGAGACTTAAAAGGTGCATTCTACTTTCAATTCAATTTATTCTTTCCACAATTCGATAAAAAAACACAATAAGAACACATAAATAAACTATTCAACAACCATATAAGGTAGAATACAAAATTATAATAGTTAGTAAGAACATTTAAAAAAGTCAAAAATGTGGAAGGATAAACAAAACGCCAAAATCACCTGCCACATGCTTGTCCTCCCCGGAAATGTATAATACTTAATGATAAACTTAAGTGAATTACGAAAAGCTTAGACACACACACACACACCCCAAGCGCACGCACACACAAGAACAAGCAGAGGTCATAAAATGAATATTTCATCAGGTTGTGTAAGACTTAATCAATTCAATTTTAAATTTATTCTTAGAACTCTACAAAGATTTTTAGTTACACATAAGGCCCTGCACACATACACACAAGAAAAAGCAAAGGGCATAACATTTCATCAGGTGGTGAAAAGCTTAATCAATTCAATTTTATATTTCTTTTCAAAAACTTGACAAAAAATTTGACTTACACATAAGACCTTCCTTGTATGAGCGGTCCATTACAGTACACATTCTTCGTTTCATATGAACACTCCTCTGTACCAATATCAATCTTGGTAATCGTAGGTGTGGTAGGAGTTGTGGCTGCAACACTTCTCTTTCGACGAGTATCTGACAGCAAGAAGACATTTTCAGATGGATTTTAATGAAATGATAAAAAAGAAGAAGAATCAATTCTATTTTAAAGGGTAAGTCCATCCCGACATTAAGTGTCATCTTGAACGTCAACCCTAGTATTACATGGCTGTACAGATTTCGACAAAAGTCTTGTTTCCCGTGCTCTGTCGTTTTTATTCACTATTACGTAAATATTATGAACTTAGAAAGCATTTGTTCAAAAATATGGAACCCCACTGGTGTATTTTCATTAAGTTGTTGGATTTATTTGTTTAGTATGTTCAATGATCGATACACTCCTTTGGAAAGGAAAAGAAAAGAAAAGAAACATTTGGATGGTGAAATTTTGAACGGTGCATGAAAATTGTGTCACAAAATAGGTAAACATGTTTATACCTTGTACTAGGTCGCTCAAAACAAGGGGTTCACTGATTTGATAAGGCGGGATAACGTCATTAGAAATAGCCTCTGCCCAAGTCGGCATTCGTGGGAGGCTGCTGTTACTCCGCGCAGGATCGTCAGCCGCTGGAAGAGAGAATAACAACAGATAGGACGGGCGGGGGTTTAAGACTCAAAATTAGAAGACAAGCACTGGTAAAAGCGACCTTTATAAATTAAAGCTTCGTGGACAGATCAACTTAATTAAATTAAACTTTTCCACGAAATCATTTTCAATCTTTTCAAGCCAAAATAATCATAACTTCATTGAAATTTTGTTACGTCTAATGCGTCAGGAGAGCATTAGAACACAACTGCCGTTAAGAACGTTAACAAATTCCGATCAATATACCTTTTTAAAATTGTAACTTGATCATTTTACCGAAAATTAATGGGTTTTCAAATAATAGTTTTCACTAACGAAAATTTAAATTTACTCTTACCACTTGATTGGGCGACGATGACTATGACGTGAGTTATTTCACCATTGACGTCATCAAATATAGAGGGGTCAAAGTTCACAACAAAGTTTCTGGATCTGATGGTCTTGCTGGGTGGGGGCAGGGGCCTCGCATCCGGGACCTGTGGAACTATGAAGAGATAGTGGAAACTTTAGTTTCACCTCTAATAATTCAGTAGGGCATAAAAACAACCATTTTACTTTTATATACAAATTTCGGGAAAGTCATGTAAATTACTTCTGCAGCTTAATGATGTATTTCATTCCCCATCGTGTTCAAAACACACGGATTTTTGTTAAGTTAGTTATTGTATTGATTTAACCCTTACTGTACTGGGCTATTTTGAGCACCCACTGACTGGGGGGGGGGGGGGGCCTGGGAGGCCCCCCCCCCCTATGATCTCGGCCGTCGATTGTCCGATGAACACGAAAATTTGCATGTTTGTAGATATTTACGTAAGGAACAAGATGGTATAATTAGTTTTTTACGAATATGCAAATTTTTGTCGTTAGCCTAATTAATTATGCAAAATGCGCTAATTTTATGCATTTTACAGAAAACGTGTCAAACTCCACTTTTTTAATGTTGAAACTCATTATTCATATGAAACTTCTTTTCTAACACAAAAAAGTTATTTTAATGTAATTAATAATGATAATTTATGCAAATTTTGATGCAATTTTTTTTTTTTTTTTTTTTTTTTTTTGATGACATGCGCATACTAATTGTTATGTAACGCCTTACAGGTATATCCAATTTCGACGAAAATGGTATCAAAATGTGCGTAAGACTTGAGGGAAAAAAGTCATGAAACGACAATTCAAAATTCCAAGTGGTTTCGGCGCAATCTCCGAAAATGTCGAGGGGGGGGGGGGAGCCTCCCAGGCCCCCCCCCCCCCCCCAGTACAGTAAGGGTTAAAGAAAATGCGTTTTACTCCCAGACAAGTCCCCAGTGTAGATGGGAAGATAGTTGACAGGTTACCCTAGTATTTATTATAGTAAGGAACATATCTGTGTGTAATATTATTTAGGTCCATCTAGCATGACCGTTGTTATGTTTTGTGAGGATAATGCGTCGCAACTTATTTCATATTATGGTATACCCGATATAACGGGAACAACAGCATAATTTGGGTTTAAAGTCAAAGTATGGCCTGCCTAATTTATTTTATATGTATATATACAGTGCGTCCCATAAAAACGAAACCGGGAATTATCAATGCTTTAAAATATGTGTCATTGATTAATTATTATTGTGATTAGGTTATGATGAAACATCGATAATTATCGGTTTCGTTTTTTCTAAGACGCATTGTATATATATATATATATATATATATATATATATATATACATATATAAAGCATTTCTTTGCAGCTATAAAGCGCTTAAAATTTACTCCATAACGAGGTATATTAAAGGACCGCTTAAACAATTATAACAACGTTTCAAAAACACCAAGAGCGGTGCAGTTGTTCTGAATAGGAGTCGCTCATGAGAAGTGCTTTATACTTACTTCCAATTGCAGTTAGAACCGAGTCAGACGCACCAGGTCCTAGTCCGACCTCGTTCCGAGCTTTAACCTGTGACGTCAAGAAATAAACATTATGTTCTTGATTAAAATGTACTCTAAGATGTATTCATATTACGGTAGGAGGCCTCATCTTTATTGTGTACGCATTTTTGTTACAACAGAAGGTGATAACATAATCTTCCGAATTCTAAACTAATCTTTGGTATACAGATCTGAGAGATTGACTCTTAAACATATTGATTTTGTACCGAGATCTCTTACATTCTTTTTTAAAATTTTGTTTAATTTCGTCCTCTCTCTCCCTCTCTCTCTACTAATTTGTATTCTTTTGCATCTCTTTTTTTTTCTTTTTCAGGGCGGTATTGAATAATCATATTCTTTGATTAGTTCACAAGAGTCGTCTGTCTCGGGTGAACTACTACTGGGCATGGGTTAGTTGCCATCACCTCAGGAATCATTATAGTATTTGCGTGCCCCTTCCCTTTTTGACAATGTACCCCCACCCCACCAATTCACATTTTAACCCGTTGAGTACTGAGTTGTTTAATTCCAATAGGCTTAATACAAGAGCCACCCGGTTCCAGGAATCAAACGGTTAACCTCTCACCGTGAACGTGTAGTAACATCCTCCTTTGAGACCCTCAATGATTACCGATGTCTCTACAACCGGTAGGTACTTCTGGCCGCTGCTACAAGTGCGCGATCCCTGGAGGAAGATAAAAGGTTAGAACGGGATAAATTAATCTAAGAAAACAGGATAACATGGAAAGCAAAGACCGAAACATTTGCATTACACATTGCCTGTTTAGAGCAAGGCATGAAGTCAAAATCGTGATTGAAAAACATTCGAGTAAAGAACTTTTTTCTTCTTGAATAACGATGATGATGGATTTTCGGATGAACAAAGAGTTATAGATGAAGCAGAGACACAAGTTAAAGAACGTATGAACAATACTAATCGTGAAATAAATTTCGCAACTTCCTTCATGTTTTCAAATGCATTTACCGTTGGATTCTCCGTTCATAGTTTGCTAGAGGTACAAATTGTTCAAAATATTACCAAACTGTCTAGCTATCTATCCCTTCAATGTATTTAAAACTCATTCTAAACATACAGAGAGTAGGTGTTATCTGATTGCCAAGATACTTTTTCTACATTTGCCGATTCCAGTCCGGTGTACTTAGGTACATGGGAGGTATTCTCTGAATACTATCATAATCAGCATCGAAAACGGTGACCTAACTTTGAAAAGCCGGGTTAATACTGGATCGTCTTGAGCACCTTGTGCTGTGGATATAAGCGTGGCAAACACGCAGGCATACAAGAAGGGACATTATGGCATTTTTTAATTTTTTTTTAATTAATTTATTTATTTATTTATTTATTTTTTTTTTTTTGGGGGGGGAGTGTTAATCTTGATGATTATTTTCAAATACAATAAAGGAAATCTTACATTTCGTTTGCCGACGTACTCAACCCGATATCCTTCAAGAACCCCATTAGGCAACATTGGGGCCAGGAATGCAAGTCTAATCTGACGATGGTCTATCTGAGGTTCCAATCTCAGTCGGTCTACTGGTCCTGGCTCTAAGAGAGAAAGAAAAACACAAACACTGCATTAGCCCAGTCCAATAACTAAATTAAAATCGATTTTGAGTGGCAATATTATTTATTTAACATGGCTTCTTATTTGAAATTTCCCAAACTATTTAGACTAAGTTACCTTCACTGGTAAAAACTAATTAATTTGTGTTTTTCCCCCTTCTCTTCCTATAGCTGTCTTTTTTTGAAAGGGGAAGTAAGTCATAACATTTAGTGGGTTTTTAAAAAAAGGAGAAAAATGAGACAAACAAAATGTGAAAGTTTGAGCAATATACTATGAATTATTTCAAGTTGTCATCAGTGAAACACTAATAATTATCTCGGTTAATGATGACGGAACAGATTTATTTCATACAGGGGTTTTATAAAACATATTTGTAATTTTGTAATCATAATTTTAACTAGGGTGAATGTATGATTGAAAATATTCTTATCAATTAGAAAAAATATCATTTTGTGACGTGTTTTAGTACAGGGCAAACGGGGAGGGAGCTCGCAAGATACGTCACAGAGTTGCCAATTCGTGTTTGATTGATCGCACATTCAAAAATTCATAACTTTCTCATTTTTAATCGATTTTTGCTCACACTTTCACAGATCTGTTTCTCTCATTTTTCTTCTTGTAACCAACTTAATATCAGGGTGGACTTCCTTTTTCAGCTGTTTCTAGATTTGGCACGTTTTCGTACTCCAAATTCATTTATCGACTGTATACGGCATAAATTGAACCATAATTATGTGGAGTCGTCTATCAGGTACAAAATGACCTACAACTAGTATTTATCTGGGCAAGGCAAACTGTATAATCATGACCTAGCTTAATTGGCGTCACTAGAGAGGGTGGGTGTGGGTTGCGGCTGGAGGTGTGGCATCCCCATGAAATATTTCTGGCAACAAATTAGACATTTTATAGGCTTTCTATACTCTATAGAAACGATGACCCTTTTTTTCATATTCATCTTTCTATGGCTTGATTGGGGAAAATGCGAGCAAATTTAGAGAACCTACAATCCAATATACTTAGGGTCTTCTGTTTTAATTGTTGGAAAGTTTGCAGATTTTGGTCAAATGGTCGAGCGACTCCCGTATCTCGTTTATTCTTACTTGTCGGTAGAGTAGTCTCTCCTACCGGCACCATATCCCCGTCTGTGTCGTTAGCGCTCGCTCTGATTGTGATAATATACCGCGTTCCCGCCAAAAGATTGTGGAATGTAAAATCTGTGACGTCACCGTGGACTACGCCGACCTCTTCGCTGTAACTTGTCGCATAGGCGTGCAGATGATAGCGCGTTCTGTAGCCCGCCCCCGGCGTCCATGCAATGGTGATAGATTGCTCGGTAACGTTTGTGACTGTGACGTTCTGTGGCGGTGTAGGGGCTGTGGAGAGAAACATTGAAGTTGAGGATGTGAAAAAGAACGATATGATCGCCGTGTGAAACACAAAGCATGAAAGCTATCAACGTTGACACTCTGTAGTGGATTCACTGTGATACTTCATGTGATCACACTATGAATAACTTGTGACTGCATCATCTATAATCGTCACTGTGGTCACACTCAGGCTCATACGTGAGGTGTTCTTTCTCCGTCCACAGTGTCCAAACATTTGAACGCATTGGTATATTAAAGAGATTCCAATCGACAGTGACGTCACACTGTGTTGCATGCACACTGTGACTTTCAATGTGACCACAGTATTGTTACACTGTGAATACATAGTCAATCTAAATATATAACCCTCCGAAATCTTCACTGTGGAACATGTACATTCTGAATCTCTGTTGAGGGAGTGTGGTCACATATTAAACACAAAAAAGTGTTCCAAAAATGGTCACATTTCAAGTTCTGTGTCAATGTTTTCCTGTGGCCACGTATATATATGGTCATCTAAAACACATTTCATATTTCATTCTGTGGTTACTGTGGTGCATGAACTCTACCTCCCTTCTCTGTGAACACTACGAAACTGTTCCAAATATACTATGTTATCACATTGTAGTTCATGCACACACAAATTATGTGTGTTCACACTGTCTATGTCATAGAGGTACAGAGATTCATCCCAAAATCCACACTGCGGCAATAGTGAGAACACAGATTGCCACACACTGTTAAAATTGCCTAGAATGTGAAAGTAATGTTTTTCTGTGCATATTCCCTCTGTGTTTAAACTGTGTCCAAACCTCGGCTTAGAAATTATGTGTGTTCACACAACCAAACAGCCTACATCATGTAAGTGATGGAAACTTCACTGTGCATGTTAACATACAATTGTGATCAAACTCTAGCGGGGCTACTATAAGATAAACAAAGAAATTCTCACTGTGGCAACAATGTGAACACAGTTTGCCACACAGCACATTCACACAGCCTACATAATGAAAAATAGAATCCTGTTTTTGCATATTAACACTGTGTGAAAACTACGCAAGGGTACAGATATACACAAGAGCATTCACACTGCAGAAATAGTTTGAACACAGATTGCCACAGACTATTGACATTAATTGCCTACAAAGTGAAAGCAATATGTTTCTGCGCATATTCCCACTGTGTTCAAACTATGTTCAAACTTTGACTTGACAGCATTTTAGTAGTGACTCACGTGTTCTCTGACGTAACTGCGCAGCCGTTACACTGAGCACACCATAACTCGACGCGTAGACGTCTATGTCGTAAAGCGCACCGGGTATCAAATCACGGAGGTATTCCGTGCATGTGTTCATCGCGTTGGGGCTAGTACTGCGTGCGGGCTGGGCGGCGAGAAGACCCGGGCAACGGACCGGGAGTTCCGTGACGGGGTTGGAGTTGTAGTTGTACGGTGACGTCTGTTGGTATCGGACGAGGTAACTGCATGCGGCGGTGCAGGATGAGGGGTCATGGGGCCACTGCATGGTGAGGAGTTCTGAGGAGATGCTGGCTACTCGGACGGTATGAGGGTGTTGCGGGGCTGCATCGTGAAGAAGAAGAAGAAGAAACACAGGCGTAGATAGAGGGAGAAAACAAATAAAAAATAAAAGTGCATATTAGGAAATAATTGTGACAGAATATCAATTTTTAGGTAAAAGGTTTACATCTACCCCTTTTTTTCTTCAAATTTAAAGAATCTTCAAATTGTCCTCTTCAGCCCAAATCAAATAGGCATACTTTACCATTTTTTCGTTTTAAATTAATGTTACGAACGATCGACTACAGCAATTTAGCAACTAGTTAGAACGTGAATTCTTTATTGAGTCTAGATATGACAATTACAAAGAGCCCCATGATGTGACGGTTGCCAGAATATTGTGAGTTTTTATATATCCAGGAGGGGTGCGACAGCTCCTCCCCCCACACCTCACACTCCCCACCCCATCCTCCACGCAGTATGCCCGTTTTGCACATACCTATTACCACAGTATCATAGTTGGACGTCACAGACTTGGCCCCACTGGCAATCACCACCGCCACAGAGTACTTGGATCCGAGACCACTCGCGACAAATGTGAACTGCCCTGATGTGCGCACACCCCCAACGCGCATCCACGTGAGCTCGGTTGCAAGCGCGTCGTCTTTGCTGACAAAAATTGTGACGTCATCCACGTAGGTCGGGTAAGGGATTTGCCAGTAGAGTTCGAGCGAGGGTATGGCTCCGGGGACCTTCTTGACGGAAAGGAAAGGCGGCATTAGACCTGGATGATGACAGAAAAGAGACAACTGAATATTTCTTCAGAACACAGAACGAACATCCTCTTAGGCAATGACCTCAAGACCAAAGACGTACGAGAGGAGAGTGATTTAAAACGATTTCACGACACTTGTTCCTGCGACAATTTCAATTTCGATTTCAATTTCAATTTCCTACATTAACTGAATTTGTACCTTAAACCCTGGACAAAACACTACACTTAACCCTAAACCCTAACCCAAAACCCAATCGCAACACTAACCCCAACCCTATACCTTTCAAGAAATTGTCGCATAAACAACTTTAAAACATCACTTAAAAAGACCACAATTAAACATAGATAATTGAGAATGCAAACTCGGTGTAACTAATGTCTCGGAAATTGATGACTCACGGAGTTTCATTGGAAAAAGAATTGTGAAAATATCCGTAAATGTCTATTCGCTTATCCATATATATACATATAATAATTTTTACCTCGACCTTTGAAAAGAGCTTACGAAGATCCATTCATCACTATATTAACACTCATTTGATTATTATTGGTGATCTACATGTATGTGTAGATGTAATGTTTATTATGTAAACCTTTTGAGAAAAAAAGTCTAGAAACTCAAGTTTGACTGAATATATCCCTCTTGTTATGGCATAATCATCGCTATGTTTAGTATCATTCTAAGTGGATTATTATTCTTTAAAGTGATACCGTATTTGTTGTGATTTTAAAGTCGTGGAATGTGCATTACATCAAAATAAGGGGCAAGGTCAAGAGTGAAAAGTTACAAAATGCACTTCTCTTTTTCGGATGTGCATTTTCTTTCTTGTTTGAATAAGAATACCGAGCTGTTGTATAAGTGCATCCATAACAATACTATTGCTTGCCAGTGCATTTTGCAACTTTTCACTTTTGACCTTGCCCCTTGATATAATGTACTGGTCATTCCATGGCTACAAAATCATAACAAATATGGTGTCATTTTAAAGACGAATAAACAATCTTTCAATTGATACTAAACAAAGTGGTTATTGTCCCTTGGCAAGAAAGATATAATCGATCAAACTTGAGTTTCCAAACTTTGTAAGGGGTTTATACCATTACATCAATTCAAATCAAATTTGAGTTTAACTTAATGAACATTTACTCATGGAAAAGAGGCAAGATTGATTTCAATAAACGAGACAGAAAACAAATCACATATATCTAGTAATTTTTACGATAAGTTTGATATAACCTCATTTTCTCTCGTTCATTAAAAAAAATGGAAACATTCGGTCTCAAAAGGTCATATTCCATCGAATTTGTCACGTGGTGATCAGCGTTGCTTGTGAGGAAGATTTATGGCTAACCACACCTAATACCTCAGAAAATGTTGTGACAACTGGTCCGATGCTCAAGGTACAGGCTGACAGCCACTTTAGTTTAGAACACGACTAGTTAACCAACTCACAATAAATAGATAAATACTAACTTAAATAAGTTAAATGGACAATTTGAGGTTACAGAAGGCTTATAATGTTCAAATATTCACAGTGAAATATCACAAGTAGCCAAAACGTAACGCTGATAAGTTAAAAAATGATCATAATACCTAATTTCTCCAAGTAAACTGCACGTGTCTATTTTGCTTGCATATGATACAACTATGACCATCATACAGCAGATCATAATGATATCATTGGAAAGAATGAACAGAATAAAAAAGAATATATATTTTAAGGAAAACCGTAACAATATTAACCTCAACATTACCGGAGGTGGAAATAACATATTCAAACAGCATCAAACCCAAAGTCATTTCAGAATAATACTGTGATCGCTGAACAGGCATTGGCTATACATCGATGGGTCCAAATATAGCCTAAATCTCGGGGGTTGTTTAAGGTCTCAAACAGATTAGGCCGGTTGTCGGGGGCTGTAAAGCCCCCTTGAAAATATAAGCATATGCTTCATAATCTAACGTGAATGGATGGGTGAATGTTTAAAGAGTGATGACAGTTCTTAATCCTTGTCAAAAGCAGTTAAGGGTATTTCTAAGAGCCACCATTTTGAATTGGTGTTGACAGATGGCCTCTCCAAAGTGTTGAATACAAATGTTTCGACTCCAAGGAACTTGAGAAGTGGGATAAATGACCATTCTGATTTTGTATTACACCCGCACCTCCCCTCACCCCCTTGACTTTTAAATATTCTTTTAATAGCTTTTCTATTCGTGGTTTCCGGATGATTATACTTTATACTTTATGAAGAGCCCACCTCATTCACAAAGTGTAACTATACACATTACGAAAAAGGGGTGCACATGATTGTGGTGTCCCGATATAGTAGCAGACCCTGTGCTAATAATGATAATAATATTAACAACAATAAATGATAATAATACTAACGTCAATAATAATTTTAAAAAATACTACTAATAATAATTATAATAACAACAATGATACAACTACTACTTCTACTACTAATAATGATGACAGGATCTGATATGATACTTTTACCAATTAATTCAATTGCGATACTGCACATTGGAGTTTTCTGCTCTTCTGGAGAGCATTCCGAAACGGCAAAGTTAGAGAGGGGCGCGGGGGTCACCCCCACCACAACCGCCCACGTTTATGTTCGTTCTTATCCGTCCAACACGTGACACATCGAAATCTTAAGCATACGGTGTGCAATCGTTGTGGATGATGCACGTCAAACTTTTGCGACATAACTGACCTTCGAACCTGCCTTGTGTTTACCGTCAGTTAAGATACTATGTAGTCATATTGACCGAAATTGCAATTTCAAACTGCTCTACAGAGGACCCTTTGGGACAAGTCCAAGAAACAGTCATGGTCTTTACGTCCCATACGTTACCAAGTATCATTCAATGGACAACCCAACTTTTGTAATCATTTTTTTTTTCTTCTATAAAAGCAGAACAAATAAGATGAACGTTGAAAGTCTGAAATAAATCGGATCAATATAATAGTAAGAAAGTTATTAATGTTTAAAATATGGGATTACTAAGTCGATCCATGCGAATCTCACATTGGCAGTTTGGTCAGTGGATTGTATCGTAGTCGCGGATAAACTCTCCTGTTTGTCGTGTACAGAGCTATAAGCAATTTCTGTTTTTCTCCTAAGCGCCTTCTCCCGTGGGGCACTACTCACAATATATCATGGATATTGGTTATTACAGGTCCTCTAACGAGAAAATACCATCCTGAGTCATAAATCTGCGAAAATTGACATTTTAGTAATTTTGTGTGTTGGAATGAACGAGACAGTTGTCAGCCACTAAATCACAGAGACATTACCGTTTCAGCCATTCGGAAGAGCCCATACCTATATTGATTAAAAACATTAAAACATTAAAACTATCTCATTTCCCCCAAGTTCATTCTCTGATTTTTCTGCTCTCCTCCAAACTACAGTAGTTTACTCTCAATGTAGGATTTCCCTTGGAAATTATTATTATCCTTGTTATTTCCTTTGATCTAAGCTATATAATATTGCTTTAAAATCAAAACAGACATTAAGAGATACTACAATCTTAGGTGTGATCGGTAGCGTATGTGTTCGAGTCGCGCCGCGGCACTAATGTCATTTGGCAAGACATTGATCTACATTTGCCACACTCCACCCAGGTGAGGTAAATTCCTTGAAATGCTGGAGCGCTGTAATGGCAGCTAGGCTAAAGCTGGTGTAATAATAAATGCACCACGGAATAGAATTCTAGATATGCCTATTATTATTATTATTATTATTATTATTATTATTATTATTAACGTACGGGACAACATATCTTGCAATTTACCTAATAAACAAATGTTATCTACGATAAGAAAGCTCACCTATGAGGAAGAACACATTCGCATTCATAATTAGTACTGATTCCAGATTAATATCCACTGGCTTCAAATTACGTTCCAGAACAAGAAAAGTATTATTATGATGAATGCAACAACCCTATCGGTTACGTTCACCTTGAAAGAGAAGTGTCATACAGATAATAGTTGTCATTTACAAGGTCACATGGTCACATAATGCATTCGCGAGCGAGTCTTTGGCGGGAAGTCGGAATGAAAGATGTATAAAGACCATTCCCACCGTGTCAGGTCCAGAGATTATTCAAGCTAACATACGTTTATATTATAATCTCCATCACGTATTCGTTAAATCTGTTCTCCTTATCGAAATGGATGCATAAAGTAGTGATCCCCTTGTTAATCTCCTTCAAGAGCTTGCGAAACAGAAAGGCAATATTGTAGCACCACCTGTTGATAGGCCGTACTGTACAGGGTAAGGAAATGAAGATCGAATCGGAGAGCTTTCTCCATCCACAATTGTAACAATGTTGAACAGAAAGTTGGATCACGGATCCTTGTCTTAAATCTCTATCAGAATGCGTCACCTGTTGATATGCCTGCATGGAAAACACAGGTCGAATCGGACAGCCCTCTCCTCATAACATGCTGTCCTCTGCATGATGACCATGTTTAGCAGAAAGTTTGAATAGGATTCACAGCGTGTGTCATAAAGAACTATCCAATTATGAACTCAAAGTAATGCATTTACTGATGGGTAACCTCAGTGAAACAACGACACCTCGAAGACAGTTGTGAGGTCTACTCAACAAAAAGTTTAAAGAGAACTGGCACTTCTTTCACTAAAAAGCTCCACGGGTTTTCGTCACTCCAAAAACGCGTTGTGTCTGTACACCTAGAAATGACTTATAGAGAGTCATGGAAACCGGGGGAATCTTTCCCAAGGCTTTTCTTTTAACGGAAAACCGGAGCGGTATCCGCAAGGGGGCTCTGTTTTAGTACTGATAAAACTAACAAGTCTAGACGCGGTATAGGGAACCACGATAAACAAAATCAACAGCGAGAGGGTTGCATTCAAAACCACTTTTGCCTTTTGAAGAACTTTCTACAACAGTAGTTGTAGAGTAGAAGCGGTTGATACGTACAGTTGCTGGTTCAACATAATTATTCCAAGAAGTAGTTACTGCAACTAGC